AGACCGACCTCGAGTCTGGAGGTGGCCCCCCCATCGCGGCCCCCTCTCAGCGTGGTCAGGATGAGCGCATCGGGAACAGTCCTGCCCGTCGTCACAGATGTCATGAAGACGGAATGGCCTCTCGGTCGGCAGACGACCCAACATTCCAAGCTGACCAACCTAGCAGCAAAATGATAGCGTGCCGGTTTGATGCTGGCATACCTCTCGAAAAGGGTTCTCGCCAACCATCCCCTCTCCCATGCTTGAAATCATTGATGAAATTGCTTTGCAGCAGACAGGTCCTTGAGGGCGTTTCCCGTGTCGCTTGCACCATGGCTCCCCCCCAGCCAATCGTCCCTCCTGTCTTCCACTTGTACAGCGATGGCTCGCCTTATACCAGAGACAACCCGTGCGGAACATGGGCATTCATTGTTGTTGCGCAGAGTCTGGATTGCTTTTTGGTTTGGGGGGCGCGGGGGGGGAAATTGGGGGAGACGAGTGACGTGGACCTCCTTTCGGAGACGGCGACGAGCGCGACGCATGAGTTGCTTGTTTTGATGTGGATGGGCCTTTGGATCTTCACTTCGCCTTTAGATGTGGAATATCATGTGGCCAGCGACTCGCTCTGCAGCATTCAAGCGGCTAGTGGAATGCAGGTGCCCAAGTCGGGCACTGCCGTGGCCGAGCTCACTAAAGTAGTGTGGCATTTGGCCACGCTGCGCAAGAAGGCCACCTGGATCCACGAGAAGACTTGCAATTGACGCCATTGGAGATCATTTGCGGATGACCTCGCTAAAGCGACGGCAGGAGACTCGATTCCCGTTTTTTTCCGTTTCCCCCGTGGGTGGGCCTCTTCTTGTCTCTGGGCAACCCACTCCCATTCTCGAGCGGGAGCCATCTGCACAGCGTCGACCCTCGGCCAATGGCCTGGTGCACAGGTCACCCGACCATGTATGCCACGCCGACGGCGGGAGCAAGACGAGGCTTGTTTTAAAGGTCGACGTGAGGACAGTGTTGTGCGTCCCCGGTTCCGGCAGCGATGCGGCAAGAAGGGTGGTTTTGCCGGACAGGGCAGAGGCCCAGGGTTCTCTCTTAGTTTTGTTCTTTCCCGGCCCCGACTTGAGGTGGGCCGGCGGAATTATTCTGCCAGAAAGAACGAAGTCGGAGAGGGCTTGCGGAATTGAGTTTCGAGTTTTTTTCCCAACCATCCTGTGGTGTTGGGTCCTCGTTTTGAAGAGACGGTGCCCCGCGTCTC